TCTCTCATCATGCCACTGATTGGAACTGTTTCATTATGTGTAAAACATTTCACTACATCAAGCAGTCAGACAATGACTCCAAAGCCCAGAAATGACAAAATTCATTTCGGATACAGAAGACTGAGAATACCTTCCTCCAATGAATATTCATTTATTTGAGCAGCCATCTCTGATGGGGAAAAGCAAAGTTCAAACTATTGGTTTGAAGCAAATAAAGCAAGGATGTTAAGCTGCTTCTGTGTATTTAAGAGCATTCGTCTAACACTGGGTGACAGATAGATACCTATACGGAGACAAATGCTTGTACATTGCGTGGAAGCAGGGAAAATTTAAGTTCCCCTCTCCTTGTAAAAAGGTATAAATTCAATAAATTGTCATTTTCTGAATGCAGCTTTTTTTTCCTTTCACATCAGCTGTTGGACAGCATAAATTCATATCTATTTTATAGCTTTCCACCCCTCACTTGTTTCATCTGCTTTTCATTTCCAGAGATAAATAATTGCAATCTTTTCAATCCCTTGAAAAACTCTGCCATATCCTTCACATCAAACTCTCCACAATCCCGTGATTTTATTTTTTTTTTTCAAAACCAAGTGATGGGTAATAACACACGTTGAATAGCAGAAATGAATTACGGAATTTGTACAGAATGACGCTTCCTTCTCAATGCTTTTTCCCTGCTTCTGATTGCAGCTATAAACTGGGGACTCAGATACCTCGGCAATCTGCAACGATGTCCAAATTTTGTTCTTACATTAATACCGTTAACAGTGAATGGCTTTCTGCCTCCAAAACAGTTTTGCACATACCAACATTGTTTTACCTGTTAGCACGCTGTCCTTTCACCCAGCTTACTGAGACTTCTCCCATGACCTTTCCACTATTTCTGAATTTGGTTAAACAATTTTAAACCCTCAGCATACATTGCCACTTTGTAATTCAACTTCTACAGATGATCAACAGCAAATACCAAACAGCTCCTGATTTAAGAAACAACCTGACGCCTCCTAGAAGTTAATATTTATTTCTGTTATTTCATTTCAGAGACGGTGACTCAGGACAAGAATTTCACTTCTCACCTTCTTTATTTAATAGCCAGGCGTGAGGAACCTTCACATACACCTTTAAAATCATAATATGTATGCGAGAATGATAATAAAACTAAACTGGAACAGCATCTGCTATGCCATTACGGCAAACAAAACCCCTAGTAGATCAGCAAGGCACACGTGTCTCTGCAGCAGCAGCTGTGACTACGTTAGCAATACCAGTTAGCACTGCTGAGCCTGCCACCAGTCCTTTTTGCCTCCCCCCATCTACAGGTATTCGCAGCTGTAAGGGAAAAGAATCAGGTGTGCAATGGTTTTGCTTTCAGAGCTCCCAACAATTTGCAGATTTAAGAGCTCACTTGCAGAATTTTCTTGGAAGCTGCCCTTCGGTAGCTTCCAAATCTACTGACTGATTTCTACCATCTCCTAATTTGGTTCTCCCAACCAAACGTGTTGAGGTTTTCCAAATCTGTGAGAACAAGAGCCAGAGAGAGAACAGAGACTTTATTAATATTCCCAGACATAAATGCAGCTTGCCACACAGCTTACCAAAATGTGGGGAGGGAACAGTACAAATGCCCTAACTATAAAAAGTGCATCAACAGCATTTAATGCCTTTTATCAGATGCCAAGAAAACCCACCTGGATGTAGAACTGATTTCTGTTTCCTAATAGGTTTTGGAAATAGGTTTTCAGATGGTTTTGGCATTCCTAATAACCTAGTTCTGCATGGAGCCTGCTGTCTGAAGACTAAAATTCATGGCGCAACCACAGCACCTAATTAAAAAGTCAATCAATGGCCAGATAGAAACTCATTGAAAACTATCCATCATTTCTGCTAAATACCTTATTAAGTATTTAGTTAAAATGTAACTGCGTTTGTTATTCTGTAGTTCTCTGGTATAATAAATTACCTTAAACACACAACATCCTAGGGTAACTAAGCTAGGATTTAATTCAGCTTCCACCCCCAAAGCACCTCAATTAATAGAAATATTTTTAGAAATGTCTACACTTTTGATGACATTTTCTGTGTTTTAACCGATTAAAAAAAACACATTTCAATGGATTAAGAAACCTAATGCCAAAGATATGAGAATTTCTAATGGTGCTGAATAGTTTATTTTCCTGGAAGCCTACAATTAATGTCTTGCTGCCTCTTGGAGACATTCTTTGTTCAGCCTGTGTTATAAGATGCAGGACACGGTGCTGTGTAAGCACTACACAGCACGCTTCCAACCTCTACGGAGGAGGCTCTGCGAGGAAATTTTTGGTTTGCAAAGTCATTTGAAATAAGTACGACAATCTAAGCTGTTCTGTTTTCCAGTCCTATCTTGCATCGTCTTTTTTTTTTCTTTGAAACCATGTCTTGTAAACACGAAATTTATAGCCTGTAATCTGTGTCAGACGACCTCGAGATCCCTCCCCAAAAACTTAAGAGACTGATTCACAGATGTACTGGAACACACAACTCCTATTGCAATCTGGCGCCTTGGTATCGCTGAGGATCCGGGCCACAGTCCAAAAAAACAAAACCGGGAACGGAGGTATTGTCACCCTTGCAGCAGTCAGAGGCTCCAAGGTGGCAGAAAAAGCAGAGCATGACTTATAAAGGGCGCTTTGCTTTCCTAGGGGTAGAATTAAATGAAGTACATTAAGATACCTCAGACGTGCCAGCAGGAGGTTACAGAAAGCCCCAGTAAGAATGCAGGAATAGGAACCCGACAAGACTTCCATCATGGCTTTTCTTGGCAGTCAAAAAGCATAGGAACAGAGGCAAAAAGCCTTGTTTTCTTTCAAACTGTATTTCCCTTGGACAACAGAGCCTCATACTTCAGTTCAGTCCTCTGTCTGATAAGTATCTGGCATGGCGTTGGGATTTTTTCCCCTAAACTGCAGACCTACATCTTGGTGGATGAGAAGCAAGCGTATATGAGATGAGAAGCAAGCAAGTGGGCTGACAGCATTTTAAGAGTGTTAAAAAATACATAGATAGAAAAAAATAGTACAAGCAGGATTACAGGCAGCATCTTCTGTGGGGAAGAAACGCCAGCAGAAAACACAGGGTATGAGATAAAACACATCCATCATGGAAAAGGCGCTATGAAAGAGCAAGGAAAGGGAAAAGAAAGTAGGACAAAACATATTAAAAAGACTGAGAAACAGATTTTTTTTTATCCACTATAGGGAAGAAAGGACTGACGTGAAGGAAAAATTGTGACATATTGAGTTAAGATGTAATATACTTTACCCTGGCTTTTTTAAGGAAACGAGTCTCACGCAGGAAGCGTTGGTGAGGGCTAGGGGCTCCCATGTGCTCCACAGAGCCTGGAAGCCGGCTGCCTGAATTCAGTCAAGTTTGACAGAAGGGGAGAGGTCTCAAAGATAATTGCCTAAGGAAACTGGAAGTTTGCAAAATTGAGATGCGCCGAGCGTTCCCACTGAAGGCAAGGCTGCAGCGTGCAGTGAGACCTTCCTAGATGCTGGGTGATTCACAAAAGCACGAGCCCATAAATGTTTCAAAGAGGGAGGGGGGGGAATCCGTTAGGGCTTACGGTCATCTATCAGATGAAAAAATAGAAAAACAAAAAAGGTAAAGATGATTTTCTGTTGCTCAAGGGAATATTTTTAAATACTTATTCCTGTTTTAGCTAGGGGAGGAAGGCTTGGTGGCACCTGGTAGGTCCACCACGGTGCGTAGAGACAAGCAAGTGCCAAAGAGCCCTTTTTAACTGGAAGAATATAACAGAAAGCAGGAGGTTTTCATCTTCCTTTGGAATAAACTGAAAGAAAAGAGGCAAAACGAGGAGAAACGGAAGGGGGAGAGCTGGGCTGAAGGAAAGCACGGCAGGTACCCCGCTTCCTCCCACCTGCTGTCGCGGGCTGGCTTCGCTCAGAGCATCCTCACCCGACACACGGCACGTTAGCAGCAGGCAGCGGTTATTCAGCACCGAGAGGACTTTTTTAACAAGCTGTGTGTGCCTCTGGCGGGCTGTGAGGCGCGGAGCGAGCCCTCCCCGAGCCCACAGGCGCCCCTTCGCCAACCGCCAAGCCCCCAGACGCTCTCAGGAGGCGGAATCACCGCTTTATTTCACCGCTTCACCTCCATACCCCCGCTCTCGGCGGCTCCACGCGTGTCCCCCCGGCCGCGCAGCCCCCAGCCCCAGCCCTGCAGCTGCCGGGGACCCCCCCACGGGCAGCCCCAGGCGTTCCCCGCCGGCTGCGGGGCGACCGAGCCGCCCCCTGCCCACCCCCTGGGGCACAAAGGCTGAGCCGCGGGCGCCCCCGGCCCCCCGGAGCCCTCACACAAAGGGCGAGGCGGCGAGGCGAGGCGGCGCCCCCCCGCTCCCGCCGCCCCTCCGCCCGCCACTGACGGCGCTTACCGGCTCGCGCCCCTCCCGCAGCCGTTAGGGCTTCAAACGGCCGCCGCCGCCGCCATTCCGCGCGCGCGGAGCCCGGGCGCACGCCGAGGGGCGGGGGCGCGGAGGCTGCACAATGGGCGCGGGCACCGGGTGCGGGAGGGCGGGGGGGGAGGGGCCAGAGCCGGGGGGCGGAGCCGCTCGCACCGACACCCCCGCTCCACTCCCCCCCCCCCCCCCCCCCCGCGGGGGGCAGGTGGTACGGTCCGGCCCCTTCGCTCTCTCTCTGTGCCCCTCCCACCACAGGGAGGCGGGGCTTGCTATTGTGACGTAACGAAGCCGGCTCGCTGGCAGCCAATCGCAAGGAAGGGGAGCCGCGGGGCATGCTGGGGTTTGTAGTCCCGCGCGGCGGTCCTGGAAGGTCAAACGCCACTAACGACACAAGGAGGCGAAGCCCGCCTCCAGCGCCCGCAGAACCCACCGGACCCCACGCTTTATTCCTTAAAATGCACTCAGAGATTTAATTAGCTGCCTCCGGCCGCGAACCCCCACCCCGCTCACCCCCTGAGGACAGCCCCACGGCGAGAGCCTCGCGGCTGCCAGGACCTGCCCGTCCCGTCACCCCCCGCGCCAAGATGTCGGCGGCTATCGCCGCGCTCGCCTCCTACGGCGGCTCCGACTCGGAGCCGGACTCGGAGCCCGAAGCCGAGGCCGACCCCCGGCCCGCCGCCGTGCTGGCCAGCCGCGACGCCGTGCTGCACCTCCGCCCGCCCCCCGCCGCGCCCCCGGCGCTGCCCGTCGACTCGGCCCCGGAAGTGGCCGTGAAGGTACGGGGCGGCCGGGACCCAGGGGGGGGGGGGAGCGGTTGGTTCGGCTGCGTCCGGCTCCGCTCGGGGCCGTTCGGGTCTGTTCGGGGCCGTTCGGACGCGTTCGGCTCGGCTCGGCTGGGCTCGGGTCTGTTCGGGTCCGTCCGGCTCCGCTCAGCTGGGCTCGGCCGCGTTCGGCTCCGCTCGGGTTCGTTCGGGTCCGTTCGGCTCCACTCGGGTCTTGGCGCCCAGCGCGGCCCCTGAGGGCTCGAGGCGCTGAGGCGAGGCTGTGGCGGCCGCCCCGTGAGGGCTCGGGGGCGCCGAGCGCTGGCAAAGAGGGACCAAGAAACCTCCCCCTGTGTGGTCGTCTTCTAGTTTATGAGTTGTTGCTGTTAATCACGTTGTACACTCACACTACATAAGCACCACTGCACTCCTAGAAGCCTGCAGATATCTTACTGACTCGCCCAGCTCACCCAGGACTGCTTCTACCACAAGCATTTTGCTAACCAAAACATAAAAGTATCAGTCTTGTAGACAGTGTGCTTTCAACACCTTCTGTCTAAAACTGATAGCAGCCCACCAGCCAGCCCGGAAAGCTTGCCAGTCACCCCCTTGTGATTTCACTCTCATTCTTTAGGATTAGAGAGCCCTTACTGAACAAACGTAAAATAAATGTTCAAATCACAATCGTTCTGGAAGTGGTTTTAGAAAAAACAATGATTTGAGTGAGGAGAAAGAGTTACGGTTCATTAGTATCACTCGTGCAAGTGCTGTTTTGACACGAGTGAGGATCCTGTACTCCTAGGTGCAGGGATGTGTCATACACAAGGCACCAGAAATGTGTAAGGAAAGATGATTTTATGAGGGGAGGCTAGACAGGTTAGGCATATAATATGAACGACAGCCACACACAGGTGTTTTTCTGGCGATTGAGAATGTCAGTTTTATTTACCTGGTGATCCACTCACTGATTGTAAGCGTTGTACCTGTTGCTGGCGAAGAATTTTATCTTAACTTGCACAGACTTTGGATTTGAGCGTACTTTAAAGAGGGATAGGTTCCTCGCTCTCTTTATTAGCAGGGCATAATTCTTAGCTCATTCAGCCACAGCATTTTCTGGTGTTTTTTGTTTTTTTTTTGTTGGGCACCACAGTGTAAGAAGGACATGAAACTATGAGGTAGTGTCCAAAGACTGTCTGTAAGAGCATCTTGCCACAGGATGGGGAGCTCCCAGACAATCAAGTTGGCTCTGGTGGGCTGTAAACCTCTGTCTGCTTTCTGCCAGCATTGTGAACTTGAGGCACTAGGAGAGAATCAGCCACCAAGACCTCATCCCCAGCATGGTATCCATCCGTCTGTAATGTGGGGCCGGTCAGGCTCTTTGTGCCTTATGTTTTTAAAGCAATCGGCTCTGTGAACTGAGCATGTTAAAAAAAGTTACAGTTAACACAATGAGGGAAAACACAGAATATGTTTAAGTGATGGCCACTTGGTTATCTAGAACCCATTTGGTCTGGATTAAGTATCCAGAAACTGGCTAAGAAAGGCGTCTGTTGTTTTTTCTATGGATAGTGAATTAGAAGAATTATTAGAAGAATATAATGTGAAACAGTCAAATACAGAGGCTCATTTCCTTGGTGTTTACCACCAGTGTTTTATGAATGTTTGTTCAGTGTCTGGCTTTGATTTGAACGTAGAGTTCAGCTTGCAATTCAAGACCTCTAGCAGTTCCCTTTTTTCATTCTAAGTCCCTTATTTTAGTTTTCTCTCTAAGTTCTGTTTTGCTAGACTTTGCCAAAAGCAATTATAATTTTTTCATACAGCTACTGATACAAAAAAAAAAATCACCTTAAGGTTGCTCACAAACCTGTGAATTAAAAATGCTGAAGGAAATTTAGGAAATGGAACATACTGTGAAGAAAGCAGATTCGCGTGAAATGTTGCAGCTACAACTGTTGCTTTGGGAGAGGATATTTATTCTTCGTCTGCTCAGGGTGAGACTTGGATGGGAGCAGATGGTCCCTTATTCATCTGCAGTGTCTCATTCACTGTTTTGGAGGAGAGGATAGTCAACTGGACTGGGCTAGTACAGAAACTGGAAATTGTGCATTTATTGTGGGAAGGGGTTGGAAGTCTCAAGTTTATTTTTTCTGTTGGAACTCGTTTACCTTTGGCAGTGTGTAGGTGTCCAGAAAAATATTACTTCAGGGATTAAGAATAGACTTCAGTCAAATTTCTTAATGTTCTTTAAAAGCTAATTCTTGCTCATCTGTGGAGAGGAAAGGTACAAAGTCATTGCGAGACCATTAGGAAGCAATAATGAACATTGGTGCCTTCTGGGATGAGTTGTTGAGAATGTCTTGGCTTCTTTCTAATTTGGTTTCTTTTCTGCTTTCTGTTGACACAAAATAGCTCATAGATGTTTAGAGCTTGTCATCATGCAAGATGATGGATTTTTATCCTAGTTCATTAGAATATCGTTAAACACATACTTCTCTTGTCAGCTTATTTTTATTTTCATAGAATCTCAGAATGGTTTGGGTTGGAAGAGACCTTAAAGATCACCTAATTCCAACCCCTGCCATGAGCAGGGACACCTCCCACCAGCTCAGGCTGCCCAAAGCCCCATCCAGCCTGGCCTTGAGCACCTCCAGGGATGGGGCACCCACAGCTCCTCTGGGCAGCCTGCTCCAGTGCCCTACCACCTTCTGAAGTCAGTGGGATGGACATTTACAGTTAGAGTACATGAATGGGTAGAAGGACTAAAAGCTGGTAATGACCAAACGTTACTTCTGGTGCCTCACGGTAAATGCCACTCATTTCTTGGTAATAAATCTGAAAAATCTATAGAGTAAGAGAGCATTGTTTTTTGACAGCCCAAGTGATTTATGCAAGAAAGTGTAAGTGACAAACTGCTGAAGCCTTCACAGCTCGTGGGATGCGGTCTTAATTTAGTGCATTTTTTTAATGGATAATTAAAACTAATTAAATCTTATGCAAAGCCAGCTGTATGTTTTAGCTATTTGGCTAATTAGCGATGAATTGGGGAAAAGGGAACATTGTAAGTTTATTTAAAAAAAAAAAAAAGAAAGAAAAAAAAACAAAAAGCATATAGATAACCTTGCAACTCCATGCTTGCATGATGTGAAACTGAAAAGCTGTGACCTTTGCTTTGTGCCATTAAACCTCACGTTTGGACAAACAGTTAAAATTTCAAGTGTCAGATTCTGCTTCGAAATACATCAACAACCCTCATTAAACTTGAAGGCAGCCACATGCTAGCACAATGGGTGTTTGGCCGAAATTTAAAAAAATATTGTGGATTAAAAGGATTGTGAGTTGTGCTAACGTAGGCACTGTTATTACCCTCTTAAGAAGGAACAAGATTAGCTGCGCCCATACTGTAGCTTGTTGCTTTTGTTCAGGGTTTTTCTTTAATGTGTGTTTCAGGGATTTGACCTGTGTCTAAGTCAAGGATGTTTTTTTGTCTTGTCTTTCAAATGTATCAAATGAAACTTCCAGCAGGCTTTTTCCAGGAAAAAAAAAAAAATCTATTTTTATTGAACTGTCTTGCATTCTACAAATCAAGTGCTTTTCATAAATTGTAATGTTTTTGTTTTATGTCATTCAGGTAGGGTTCTTCTGAAGAAGAAAAGGACTGTGGTGCATGTGAAGAATCCATAAAAAGCAGAGCCGATCTGGTTTACTGTATTAATAGTCTAAAATCCCTTTTGTTTCCTGTGCTCTTGCCTCTGCTGACTTTTAACTGGCCAGAGGGGCTTTACGGCAGAGCTGAAGGAGGATACTTTGGAGCAGCCAGACCTGTGATCTCTGGGGAGTTTCAGTGAAGTGCTTGGCTTTTCTGTGCCTCGAGGTAGATTCCTTGGGAAACACTAGTACGCCACGGTACAGCCCCGAGTGCCCTTCCTCTGTGACAGCACGTGATACAGTGCTGTAGGATGAAGCACAGCAGAGAGGAGGTAAAAGGAGAGCAGTTAAGGATGAAATAATCTTGTATATACCTAACCAAATAACATCTGAACTGTTTATCATCAACCTGATATTCCAAGTAAGCAGATGATCACATTATTGGAGAGGGAGAGAGAACTATACCCCAGGTGCTTCACTGATAAAATGTCATCTGTTCCGTTTTTTTCTTTGCATCAGGGGTGATACCTCTGTCATTCTGCACAGACACACACTTATCCTGTATTTACCAAACCTCAGTGGATCAACAAAGCACAGTGTCAGTGCTTTACTGTCCTTCTTTCTGTTTAATTATCTAATCTTAATCTTTTAGACAAAATTAAATTGTTCATTTTTTTATTTACAGGTCATATTTTCTCAGATCATTCTTGATTTTCTCTTTTGGACCCTTTTCAGTAGCTTGTACGTGTTGCCCTATGATGCTACGGTGTGCAGCTCAACTCTTGGTACCAGTGCTGAGGAAAGCAGAGAGAGAACAGGGAGAGCTGAAGTTTGCAGCTCCATTGTGTTGTACTCCAATAAAGCCATATTCAGTAAAACACTACTTACTAAAGCCTTAATTCTTCTTTTTTTCAGGCTATATGGGTTTAACACCTTTAATAATCCTACAGCATGGCATAAAGCCCTTATTTGTACCATCTCCAAGCTGTGGCAAACACAAGCTGCCTCTGCCAGTCCTACTGGCTTTCTCCACGGGAACACTGCATGTGTTTAAATTGACAACTTTCTGACCCCGTGTTTATGATTTCTGAGCAGGAAGCCACCTGAAGTACTACCCAGCCCATCGTTAAAATCGCAGATCCTTCCTCTTTCAGCTAGCTCCTGCTAGCCTCCCATCCCACAGAGCCACTTGAGTCGCACTTAAGGCATCAGCTGCGTGATGAATTGCTCATCTTAAGCTTTTAGATGAATCAAGATATGTCCTGTGAGACCAAAGTGTGTGGGGGGAAAAACCCTACAGCAGAGGGACGTGGTCCCTTAGATTACCTTATCTCTGCCTGGCTGCTCCTGTAATCTCCTCCCTGTTGACGGCAGCGATGGCAGTGGCTGGGCTGCCTGCTAAAATAATTGATGCACCGTGAGCGTAAAGCTCTCTAGTTGAACTTAAAACCCTGCTAATACAGTAGTTTTAGTACCAAAAACAATTGATGGGGTTGCCTTTTTAAAAAAATAAACACGTTTTTTGGAGCGATTTTAACCAAATGTATTCAGGTGACGATTACAGAACGTGTCGCTTTGCTCTTTCAAGATGCTGTCATTCTCTGATAAACAAGAGACTGCTAAAATGTGATCTGCTGCCATTTCTCTTCCTTCTGTGAGTTGCAGATGCTTTGGGGATCCCATTGTAGATGAACGCTGATAAAATATTCATGCCAGGTACCTTTCAGTATGATTGTTAGGAGTGTTATCAATATGCAAACACGTTATAAATCCCTTTCCGATGTCTTTATTCTAGAAGAAAGCTGCAGGAAGCAGTGCTGGTAGAAGTACCCCAAAATAACGTTCTCCTTTGTGGGACTGAGCTTCCACTTTGTGGAACATCAATTTAGGTTCAAAGTAAATGAAGCCTTGTAGAGCCCTTCAAAACCAGCTCTTTGGGAGCACTGCCACCTCATCAGAGTTTTTCTTTCCCGTCTTGTCTGTCTTCCACTTTGGCTGCATGTGCCCTTCATGAGTTTTTCCCTTTGAGTTGTCTGAGAAGTTATGCTGTATTTTCAGCTCCTCTTTCTTGTCCCTTCATCTATCAAGTTAAATTTTTCTCACGACAAGCTTGGGAACGCGCTTTAAAACTGAAGCTGAATTACAGTCATGCCTTTTGGTAAGAACTTGGAGGTGAGGGGTCACTGGATTCTCTGAAGCTCATTGTTATACGTCTGTTTGCTCAGAAGTCTTCTGTTTCCAACCATCTTTCAAAGCAGTTACTTGTGACTTCTGCCTTCTACTGTCTACCTTTTTGTAGAAATTGAGCTTTCACACTTCGATATTGAATTGATGACTGCTTTAGTTGACTCTTTTAGAAGACCTGGTTTTCATGCATCTTGGGGAGGAAGAAAAACCTTCTAATCTTGCTATTGTCTTTAGAGCATGTACATGAAATCTTTTAATAACAGTACACGTGCAAAATACCACATGCGTTTTAGACTGCATTTCTTCTTTAAAGCATTATTTTTGCATTTTCCTCCCTCCCTTCTCCAAAGTGCTCTTCTCTTTTCGTTGTGTTACAAGTGTCAACCTGAAATCCAGCATTGATTTGGTCAAAATGGGGTAATGTCGTATATTTAAAAGTCTGGACATGAAAAATGGTGTTTTAATCTGTCTGTTTTATTTCAGGAAGATGTGGAAACAGGAGTCCACCTCGATCCTGCTATCAAGGAAGTCCAGTACAATCCCACTTACGAGACCATGTTTGCACCCGAGGTAAGAAACAATATTGGTATTTAGAGCAGAAACCTACTTGGCTTAGGGCAGAGGTTCTGTAAATCTCACCTAGAAGTCAAATAAGACATACCTCACAAGCATGTAGATGCTTGCTATATTTAAGAATCTAATTTGGGCAAACTGGGAAAAAAAAAAAGGTTATATACAGGTATATAGGTGGTACATTTAATACTTGAATTTTAATATTCTGCATAAAACTTCTGAGAATAATCTTACAGTGGTGATCAGAATTAGAGCTATAAAAATTAAAAATGAGGCTTGGAAAATAGCATTATAAGTAAAACAAACAGTTTTAAAGTGGTCTCTTACTATTTTCACATCTTTTCCTATTTCTTCATCAAGCTACTTAGCAAAATAAATTGTTGGACGTCTTGTAGATGTATTGTTTTTAATTAAAATCCAAGCACTTTCAGTATAACTATTCACATCAGCATTGTGTTGATTTATTTTTTTTAACTTAAGCTATTCTAAGGTGTATAGTGAAAAACCATATTAGGCGCAAATTGGACTGGATGGTGCAATGTGAGCCACTTTCTATTTTATAACTGACAGGCTATCTGAAATATAAAAATAGCTGTCAAGCATTTATATTTTTTTCACTCTTTAACTTCTTTGTACAGATTGTATGTTGTAAAATTAGGGGTTGGCATTCCAGGTAGATAAAAGCTGATCAGTTCCTTGAATTATTCATACTAAGATGGCCCTACATCAAGCTGAAATCCCTGTATCAGTTGTGCTTTATGTTTAGAAAACATTTTTTTGGGAAATATATAAACTGGTATTTACTGCTATTACTCTGTGTATTGTATGTGTTTGTAATCCCTGTTCAAATACTTCTTGTCCATGGTATGTTCAGGAAGCTTTTGGCATTTGTCATCTTGCAGAAACAAAAGCAAGGCAGGGCTTCCTAAGTGTTTCTTCTGGAATAATGCAGCAAGTCCCTAGTTGCTTTTTAGATGCATGAAAGTGGTGTTGGCAGTGTAATTTCCATATTAACTACAAGAGTTTTATAAGACTTGCTATCTCCCACTTCTAAGGGACAATACGCTGTGATTTTGTCTTCTGAACATACTTGTACTGATCACATACTGAATAGAAGTCTTTTCTGTCAAACAGTTGATATTGATTTGTCTTCTGTACCAGTAATACAGGCTAGAAAGTTCAATCATGAAATGAGCTGTTCAGAGCAACTGTGTTAGTGATCACTGTGTGAAATAACAGACTGAGATGCTTATTCAGTAGTTGGAGAGAAACAGAAAGCTGAAGTGACTTTGTGTTACCATTTTTGAAAGACAAACCATTCTTTTCCTTGTTTGTTTGTTTTCCCAAAAGTATACGCACATACTTAAGAAATAAGTAATTCTGATCTACCTTCTTTAACATTTTTTTATGTAGTTTGGACCAGAAAACCCATTTAGGACTCAGCAGATGGCTGCACCTAGAAATATGCTTTCTGGATATGCAGAACCAGCTCACATCAATGATTTCATGTTTGAGCAACAAAGAAGAACGTTTGTAACCTATGGTAAGTCCTTAACAGTGGAATCTATATGGGGAAAATCCTTTGAATGAGAACCCATACAGCTGTAGATCGTAGTATTTATTTGGGTAATCTCATTTTGAAGCTGTAATCAAGTGTGTGACCTACCAAAATGCTTTTAATTAATTCTTCCATTAGCTGCATGGGTGTGGAAAACACAAATCAAAATTTCATGCTCTTAATGTAACAAATAACTGAGTATCTTTTATGCAAATAGGTTATTTCATGTGATTCTAACTAAAGGTTCGTGAATGTGGAATGTTAGGATGCAGAACATAAGTAAAATGCGGATATTAAGAAATGGATGTCTGGTTGTGTAGCATAATTTTAAGTTATTGGACTGCAATTTTGATGTTAGAATTGAAAGGTGGTGCAGGTGGGAACCTGGATAGGCAGTTTTGGTCTTGGTCACTGACATTACATGTTGTGCTGTGTGGATTGTGCATTTTGTAACTGTGTTAAGTACGTATTGGAAAAAAAGTGTCTGTGGACATATAGCGTTTAGTTTTTTGGATTTTTTTTTTGGTAAAATTTAGTTTGGGGGAGGATAGAATTTGTAAGTCTACTCCTGCTGTTGATTTATATTATCAGTACATAGCAACTACTCTAAAAGCTTTACTACAAGAGTGTTTTAAAAATATATTTTTACACTGGTAATGCTGGCAGCTGTGCAACTATCATGTTCAGCTTTCTAGAAATGTTCAGTAGATAATGATCTGGGTACAGCAAAAACAGCTACAAAAAGGCTGAGATAGGCAGTTTAAACTGCAAGAGCTGGCACTGAGAAGCTCAAGTACAAGCTAGAAGGTGCAGTAAATGAGCACTAGAAGGTCTATTGTGAGCTGTTTAACAACAACACTTGTTTAAGTTGTCAAAAAGTTGTCTATTTAAAACATCAATATTCTCTTTTCCATTTGGACGGAGGTCACGACTATCTTCTGAGAAAGAGCAGCAAGTAGGAAACCACAAGTGTAATTGCTAGGCATAAATCTGTTTCTCCTGTGTTTTTAATGACAAAGCCTTTGTATATTGGAAGAACAGAAAGTAAACTCGGTAGTTGAAAGCTGCAGATCTTGAGAGCTCCGGCCCTTGCTAGGCTGCTTGACAGCACTGTGCTAAGGCAGGAGATCTCAAATCTGCAGTGGCTCGCACGTAGGTGACCAGTGACTAATTGAAGGACAAGTGTGATACAAGACAAAGGATGGTAAATGAGATCACATATCCTAAACAGGTCAATGATGCAGTCTTGTAGTATGGGAATTTGTTCTTAACTTTTTTGTCATTATTTTAAGGTAGTTTTTTTTCCTTTTTCCTTTTTTTTAATGGTGGTTTTATGTATCATCTTGAAAGTTAATATGTATTCAGTGAGGAAACCTATATATTAATTACAAACAAAACCAAAATGTCTTTTGGCAGTCTTTGCCATGTATTTCTCTTGCAGTAAATATTTCCTGTCAAAGTACTTTTTCTTCCTGATGCTTGGCTAGGTCAGAACATCCGTGCTGTAGTTGAAAAAGGGCTGGAATGTTCCCCAGTCCTCTTAGATGAGAGGGCAGCAGTGGATACATAATGAGGAGCAGGAGAAAGGGACAAACAAACAGTGACATGCCTGAATATTTTTCTAATATGCCATCTTTCAGCTGGGCCAATGTCTCTGTATTTACTGATTTTTCTCAGTGAATTTGTTTTGGCTTTGATTTTTGACAGATTTATCCATTTGCTTCTTGAACAGATGTATGTACATGGGTTCTGTATACGTGGTAACCTCCTGCAGGCAGGTCTGCAGCTCACCAGCACCTTGTGTGATGAAGCAGGTCTGTTTGGCTCAGACCTGTGGAATTTAACAGCCTTCTGGTTTGACTTGGTATCTCCTGATCTATCATATTGAAAAACACATCAATCATTTCCTTTACTCACCATTTTGTTGGCATTCCTTACATTAGAGATCTCAGCCATAACTTTGTCTTTTTTTTTTCCATTGGAGATCTTGGTCAGTCTTCTTGTTGGTCTGCTGCAGCTTTTCCATGCTTATGGCCGTGCTTGTTCCTCTTGTTTTTCTGTGTTAGTTCCACTGTGTTGTTACTGAGATGAAGAGCAAGGCTGTATACAGCATTAAACATGTAGTCTCACCGTGGATTTATTCTCTGGCTTAATAAAGTGGGAGTTGTTTTTTTTCCCTTCAGTTTCTATGAAGTAACATTGGATTTTTCATTACAACTTTGAATAACTTCATATGAGCCATTTGTTCCCTTTTAACCAGATTGTTTATCACTACGTTGAACAGCATGGGCCTGAGCATGGATCTGCCAGTGACTTTCCTGCACTGTGGAAACCAACCATTTATTCCTGTTTTAATATTTTTGTAATCAATTCACCTTGTAAAGCTGTGGGCTTTCTGAAAATGTCCTTGAGGTACCCTGTAATCAATCTAACTGTGTTTCATAAAGGGTATCCAACATCAACCGATTTTCTTTCATTCTCGTGATTGTCACCTCACAAATACTCTGGAGTTTTCGTCACTCTACTTTATCTGTACAGAAAGCTGCGTGTTCTGTTCTGCTGCTGTATTTAACACCCAAGTGCCTACTGATCATTCTCTCTATTTTAGTTTCTACTGCCTGAAACTTCCACCCTTACAAATACCTGACTGTCTGACCTGTAGTGTCCCAGCTCCTCTCTAAAGCATCTTTTAAAAATAGATTTTTGTATTTGATATGTTCCCTTTGTCATATAGAGTCAATACTAGGTGAGAGATTTTATGCTGTGATTTGGCTTCAGATCACTTGGGTGAACACCATCTGCTCCTGGTGATTTGTTACCACTCATCTGTCTCTCTAGTCTCCTGATATGCTGCTTTGAGGTAGATGCTTTGTCATGATGCCCATAAAGAAAGGTCCTAGCACAACAGCATCCTCAAGCTCCTCCATAATGACCATGTATTAAAAAAGAGGAAAAAAAAAAAGCCTCACCTTTTTCTTGTAATACTCTTTTTTTTTTTTTTTCATTGCTTGATCATCTGTTGGCCTACACGCTGTCTGATGTGCTTTCTGCTCCTGCCGTTTTTGACAAAGGGTGATGTGTCAGGTTTTTATGCCTTATGTGATTTGTTTCTCACTTAGGTGTGGGAGAGGCTACTCTACTGTAGTTTTTACTTCTGTTCTGCTAGAGGTTGGTTCTTTGTATTTTACACGTTTAGATACAACTTAGGCTCGCTGAAGAATATTTTCTCATTTCTAATTGTTTCTCTTTACATAATGTTCAGCTGTGTTCACTTCCTTCTGGTCTCTTTTATGTCTTTTAATAGCTGGCAGGCATTATTTTTTTCCTCCAACATGCTGTCTTTGAAATATCCCTGCATTTAGAAAAGGCTTTACTGTTTGGTGCTTACTTTCTGTTCCTTTTAAAAATCTTTTCTGCTTCCTATAACCTTCCTGGTTTGAGATTAAGATCATTGTAGTAAATCTCTTTATGGCTGTCTTTGCTTCCTCAAGAATGTTAATTTATTCTGTTATGGTTACAGTTAAGACGTGTATCCTTAACAGATACACATCTTAAAATTTCCCTTAAGGGAAAAATCCCTTAAAATCAAGGTTCCTGCATTGCTCAGTTAGCTTTTTTCCTTGTGGATTTCTCATGTGACTGCTTCATGGAATAGGTACGTTTTATAAAAATGCTGTTTTCAGCCTATCTCAACGTGACATTTGCATCGTCTGCTCCAAGGAGGTGGCTCGAGTATCTCATTATGATTTATGCTTCTTTTCCTAGCAGTTTTGTTACCACCTCATGGTTATCGCCTCTTCTGGCTGAGCAGTCAGTAATGGAGTCCTGGTAACTCTACATGCTGCTACTTAAACCTGGAATTTCAATCCGAAGGATTCTCTACTGCCTGTTAACACTATTAAAAATTGCTAATCTAATTTGCTTTTAAGCTTTCTTTAACACACCAATGGGGAAAAAACATGCTATGACCACCTTATTTTTATATGGTAGAGTGCTTTCTGTCCAATTAGGGTAGTATTGTCCCACCAATTCTGGTAGCTTCTGAATTTCAAACAAGACGGTCAAATTTCACCATGTATTATTTCACTGTGCATGTAGGACAAGAGGAAATGGCCTCGAGTTGCACCAGGGGAGGTTGGATTTCTTCACTGAAAGCTTTGTGAGGCATTGGAAACAGGCTGCCCAGGGAAGTGGTTGAGTCACCATCCCTGGAGGTGTTGAAAAGACATCACAGAACTGAAGGGGTTGGAAGAGACCTTGAAAGATCATCGGGCCCAACATGTAGATGTCGTGCTTAGGGACGTGGTTTAGTGGTAGGCTTGGCAGTGCCTAGGTTAACAGTTGGACTCTGATCTCAGAGGTCTTTTCCAACCTAAATGATGCTATGATTTTTAGCTTCTGCTATTTTGTATGCATGCTCAGGCCCTCAGTTTAAATAGGATTCTGTGCTTATTGCTGCCCTTCTTATCTCTGTTTTCAAATTTCCATGCTACCTTTTGCTTGAGGATATGTATATTTTTAAGTTTGTGTGCTGTGCCAGATCACTTATTTTTCTTTAACTGTTATCTTTCCCCAACTCTTTAAGCAAAAAGCCCTCTTTGAACCTTTTCAGTACCAATAACCTTTTTAATCTACACAAAACCTACCCATCGTACTAAGGTCCCCTTCATTCCAGAAACTTGGAGAGGTGGTGTTGACACGAGTACTGGAGGTTTTTTTTTTTATTGGCATTAAAGATCTGCAGCTTCTCTTTGCAGTGAACAACTTCTTGAGAACCATCTGCCCTTCCTGCACATATTTTGTACAAATTCAAAAATCCTGCAACCTTAATCCAGTCACTTTTGCACAGTCCCTCAGTCCATGGAGAACAGGAAGAGCATTCTGAATGCAAACCTCAGATCTCTGATAGATCAAGCAGACCTCAGCTTCTTTATTAAGAACATCTTTGTGATACCAGCACTTAGAAGTAGTCATACAGCTGCTACTGTCTTTTCATCCTTTGTCTGGGATGCAAACCACAGAAATTCAGGCATATCATATGCAAAAAGAAACATCAAGTCTTGAACTGGCCTAGTGGTTCTCCATTTTTCTCTTCTAGGCCTTGCTTCACCCTCTAGCATTTTATCCTTCTTGTTACTCTGAGTTTTTATCCAAATTTTTCTTTAAAATACCTTGCCTAAAACTGGATATGCTAGACTAGGTCTTGCCAGCTCTGTTCCATGTTTTACGTATTTTTTCCTTTTCAACAAATCAGATTTCTTTTTTTTCCCTCAACAGTGTCAGATTGTCTTGTGGAATGTAAAACCACCACTACCCTTGCACAGTCCGTATCATTTTTTCCCTGTACCTAACCAATTCTTTTTTTTTTTTTCCTGAGGTGAAATATTTCACATTTGGTTTGGTTTCAGCTGCTAGTTGTACAGGTATATGATGCTTTGATGGCATAATTCATAAAAATACTCAATAAAATCATCTCAGCAGGTCATTCTGTAATCTTATAGGTGATCCTCTCCTATTTTGATGGAAAGCCATTCACAATGAGTCTATGAGAGTCTAACCTTTTTTCAGTTAATAACCGGTGTTGCATCTACAGTTGGGGTAATCCACCCTTTTTTAGAATCCATGGGTGTAAGGCATTTTATCTATTCAAGAAAAGGCTTTCTTGAAAGGCTTTTTAAACTTTCAGGTAAAGGGGCATTATGGATCTTTTTTACATCTTGCACACACGCTGTTCATGAATACAAATGTGCATGGCAGGCACGTCCTATGAGAAGAGGCAGAGGATGCTTGGGTTGGCCATGCCTGGAGAAGAAGAGGCTCAGAGGGGACCTCACTGCTCTCTGCAACCTCCTGAGGAGATGCTGGCCTCTGGTCACTGATGTCAGGATGTGTGGGGCTGGCCAAAGCTGTGCCAGGGAGGTTCAGACTGTACATCAGGAAAAATGTACCAGGAGGGTGGTCAAACACTGGGACTGGCTTCCTGGAGAGGTGGTTGTGGACAGCGCTCTCAAAAGTATGCTGTAACGTTTGGTTAGCCCTGACGTGGTCAGGCAGTTGTACTCAATCTTTGCAGATCCCTTCCAGCTGAACTATTCCTCCCTTAATGTGGTTAAAAGAAGTGTTTCATCACTAGTTCAGCCTCAGTACTTATGCTAGAAGTGGACTGCTTCATTCATGCAGCATTTAGTGTTTTGATGCCTCTCCTTCCCAAGGTATTAAGGTCTTACTAAATAATAAAGACTTCTGCCCAGGAATTTCAAAGCCCTTTATTGAGTATTCAGTAACTTGGGTAAAACAGGATTACTGTATCAGTAAGGCTGATACTTTAAAGCTTAAAATGACTGTGACTTGAAAATTAAACTTCTGTATTTTTTTACATTACATGCAAGGCCAACAGTCGCTGTTACCTCCTACAATTGTAGACATTTCACTGCTTTGATTCTGCAGAGAGGCCCCTTCCATCAGCATCAGTCCAGCAATATTGTTTCGCGTACAGAAGCTACCTTGGGTTCCTGTGCTGCATTGCACGGAGCAGTGGAAATGTGTTTGAAGTAGCTGTCATTCTGGAATCTACATCAAAGTCTGATTATTTAACCAACCCTTTGCAAATGCACTGAAGTTATGGGTGTAGGAGGAATTGTACCTTTCCTTGCTGAAATGCAGTATGAAATATCTACCTCCCAAATAAAACTGAAGGAGACTGTAGGAGTCGAGGCACTTTATGTGGCATACCAGCTGAGGAGGATAAAAGCAAGCTGTCTTTTGCAGCTGCGTTTAGGAGCCTCAGCCAGAAAGAAAAGATTCTCTTTCACAAACCCCACTAGAAAGTCGAAATTGTTCAGAGCTTTTCTATGACAATGATGCTGGACCAAATTCAATCCAGCTATAAGAAGCCTCCACTTCCACGGGAAGCTGTGCTTGGCCCAGGGGCCCTATTCATTCGAATACTGTCCCTCTTTTACAAGTCCTGAGCAAATAGAGTCCCAGAGACTGTGTCAATACAGTTGGAGGACAAGAAAACCACTGTATTGATTTTGACATAAATCCAAAGTAATATCTCTCTGCTGCTAACAGAAGCCATATAGCTTGGAAAAGAGCTGGCTGAAATACTGCCTTAATAAAAGCAGGCAGTTAAATTAGTGAAAGTCTGATGGCAGTGTCTGCTCAATTTGGTTATCCATGGAAGTAAAAAAATCTTCTAGGACAGCAATGTTCCTGAGAAACAGTTGGGGATTAACTCCTTGGGCTACTGAGATGGTGTTGGTAGGTTCTCAAGTCGTGTTCTTGCAAGTACTTTTATAGGCTAGTTGGTCTCTGGGGGTTCAGTACTAGTATACAAACTAGTTCTTGGATTTTTGTTATAAGATTTCTTTGGTTTTGTGTGGGTGATTATTTCTACCAGGGGGTGATATCTCCATTGTTGTTGTTTTTCCTGATGGAGAAATTCTCACTGGGTCCTCAAGGGACAGTTTGTCATTTGGGTAATGTTTAATAAGAAATGGCGATGTGTCCACCAGGGTGCACTCTTACCCAAAAAAAAAAAAAAAAAATAGTAGTGGTCAGTAACTGTGCACCTGTTCCTTGGAAATTAGATGAGATTATTTGTCGGTTTTATTCTTGTAAAATCATCCTATCCACTTCAGGACAAATGAAGAGAAACTGTAAGATACGCATATTAAAATGAGAAACCTCAGTCCCCCAAAATTGTGAATGTCCTGAATATCTACAAAATGATGATACATTTTATAAATTATTTATAAGAGTAAATGCAGCTTTTTTTTTTTTCTTTAATGGGACTCAATAGCTGCAATCAGGAAATGAAGATGTGAATACTTCATTATTTTAAAAATTAAAGGCCATTGCTGCTGCTTCTGGTATCTTCCAAGCTACTTAAAACAACTGCTTTCAAGTTGGAGCAAGCTTTCCCAACCTTGACAAGAGGAGGGTCTTACTGGCTTTGTCCCAAAATACAGCAGTATCTGTTTAAAATCTTGTGCCACTAACATTAAATCTAGAGTTGAGTCTTTCCCTTTACACCACATCACAACACGAGAACATTGTTGTGACAGTCCAAAAAGTAATGTGTCAGATTACAGCAAACTGGGCTGAATTCAGTGTTGACCTTGCTTGAAGCAGGTGTTGGGCTAGAGGCCTCTTGGGAGGCCCAAAAGATTCTGTGGCTTTGCTCCTGTGGTACCTTATCTTTGTGTCTTACCTGAATTCTTGCTTATTGTACATATTTTCTTCTCTGTTGTGCAGATTTAAGCGTTCTGGTAGCAATGCATACGCAAGGACCTCATGGCAGGGGGCTGGACTAGGTGATCTCTAAAGGTCCCTTCCAACACAAACCATTCTATGACTTTGTGGTAATAACTTATAACTTGTAGTAATCCCAATACCCAGATCAAGTGAATGAAATGTCAAAGTATTTATCATCCTGAGCTTCATCCTGAGCTACTTGAGGACCAACTGGAAAAAAAATCATGGAGCATAGGGGGAGAGAGTACACAAAGTTGTACATCAAAAAGAGAAAATAACATTATTTTGTTTTTCTTTTTGTTTCCAGGTTATGCATTAGATCCCTCTATAGATAACCCTGAAGTTGCTACCAAGTATATTGGTTCTGTGGAAGAAGCTGAAAAAAATCAAGGTAAATAATTCAGAATCTCTTATAAATTGACTATTTCAATTTCTTCCTCAGTAAGGAATGGAATAGGTATTAGCAGAGGAAGGAACTATGAGAGACTTACCAATGCAGGTATGTTGCAATCATAATGTTACAAGCAAAGAGAGGTACAAGGGAGCTTTGTTTTCCTGAAGCAGCAAACTTATAAGGCTATCACTTGTCAAATTTCAAATTTGGCGTTGGAACTCTTACGTGTAATTGTGTGGATAGCATTGATTTGAGCAGAGCTTTTTGGTCCTCTGAATTTCTGTCGTAGGTAAGTTGTTGTGTGTTTGCATTAGGATTCTCGTGTGTTAGGATAACCACTTAAACTGTGCTTCTCAGTAGCAAACTGATCATTCTGTAAGCAACCTCTAGCACTCCTGTTGGGAATTGCATGTTATCTCTGCTTAGCAGAGTTAAGCTGTTTGGGTTATTTAGGAAAGAAAAAAAAAATGCTGGAAAGTTGCCAAATGGTAAAGGCATAGCATGCCACTGAGAGGATTGACTACCAGAAGCATGGGGTTTGTAATTAATACGCTGATGAAAGATATTTAGCACTGAAAATGACTTGTTAGCATGTGATATTGTAGTTTAGTGTAAAGTAAATCTGGTGAGGTTGTATCAAACTGTAGCCCAATATGAAGTACTGAATTTGTAAAGTAAAAATGTGAAAACTTTAGTTATGCTTTTCCCTTTCATGATTTTTTAAACATTTTATTTGCACACATGTATAAAGGTTCTTTCTGTCTTCTCTTCCATGGAATATATACAAGGTTACTTCACTCTTTCCTTCCTAAGTAGGAAAAAGAAAATAGACTTATTTTGACATAGCAACTACATTGGACAGAGATGGCTAAGATATATTTGAGAAATAATTGCAGGAGTAAAACATACCCTTCTGAAACTACAGTTTCAGCAGTATTATTTTAAGGAACCTCGTGAATTTAATATACTATTCTTCCATATGACCATTATTTTAGCTTTTACATTGCCTATTTCCCTTTGTTTACACAGAAATCTTTTTGTTTCCCTTTCCCTAGAGGAGTACTACTCATGCTGTAGGAAAGCATTATTTGAAAACTGCACACTGGTTTTGACAGATGAAGTTCGAGGGCACAGTATTTGTGATAAGCTAGCATTTATGGGGAGGAATAAGCTAGTGTTCAGAAATAGATGACCCTGATTTATTTTCTTTCTGCATTAAAATACACAGTTGTAATTGGGGTTTAGGGAGATCTTTGTTTTTTGTTTGCTTGTGGGTTTTGTTTAAAACAGGGGTAAGGGGATCAGAAGCCAATTGTTAGGACTCTACTTTTTTGAACTCTGCACTATTTAATGTATAAAAACTGATGTGTTTGTACAGTCTGCAGGATTATTGTTAAAAACACAAGGAAACACATATGGTTAAATACTAATTTGTCTCTTCCATTATTGTACATAGCTAGCAGTGTTCATAATGTAAAAAGTTAGCAATGTTTTGGCACCAAAATCTGTTTTCCATTTTCCTGTGTGTATTGGAGGGGGTGGTGGTGGTGGTGTGATTTTTTTGTTTTAGACTGCTGTGATGTGTTGTATTCTGTGCTAGCAGCTAGGCAGTGCGTTGTTTCTTTCTGCAGGTTTAACAGTGTTTGAAACAGGACAAAAGAAAATTGAAAAAAGGAAGAAATTCAAGGAGAACGATGCATCTAACATTGATGGTTTTCTGGGACCATGGGCAAAGTATGTTGATGAAAAAGAAGTAGCCAAGCCATCAGAAGTAAGTACTACTTTAACTCAGCAGATACAGATTGTTACTACATTGTGGTGCCATAATACATTGTGGTGGTTTTAATAGGGATCCAACTGCCCTGGTAGTTTGTCTCAACCAGAAGATCCATGCTGTGCTTCAGGGTAATAGAAATGTTTCAGGTGATTTGTTTGAATAAGGTGTTCTGAATATTCTGCATTCAATTATTTGAAAGACTGCTTGGAAATAAAATAAAATAAAATGAATTGCGTTTATGTGCCATGTGTAGAGTCCGATAAAAGATGCTTATAAGTAGGAGCAGCTTGAAAAAGATCTGAAAGTAAAACTGTAATAATAATAAAAAAGGGGTGGGGGAGCAACTACTCAACCCTCCAACCACCAAATGTCCTTCACATTTAGTCAGTGATGCCTGTCTGTAGTCTTTAAATAAAAAGCTTATACATAATTATGTTCAGTGTACACAGCTTTTCAAATCAATCTGATTTTGATAAAAGTATTCTCTTGATTGAGGCTTAGAAATATTTCTGATCTCATTTAGCCAGTAAATGTGTTTTAGATAGTAAGTAAACAGTAATGCAGTTTTGAAATGTGTTACATCATTCTGAATGTTTAATTTTTTAAAAGTCATGATCCTGTTTATTTTTTCCAGGAAGAGCAGAAAGAGTTGGATGAAATAACAGCTAAGAGGCAGAAGAGAGGAAAGGTGGAAGATGATAAACCTGGAGAGGAGAAGACTATATTACATGGTAACGGCATCTTCCTGCCTGTTCTCATTTTCTTGCTCGCTGTGTTTTCTTGCCTGCTGTGTTAATTAGTAAGGATGGCAGACAGCCTCAGCAGTTTTGCTGAGGCACCTTGATGTTTCTGTTTTGGAGATAATAGCGCTCAGAGGCATAAGCATAAAGGACAGAGAAAGAGATAAACTTGGACCAATTCCACTTCATACTGTGAAGAGCAACATAGAAATGTCATCTTTCAGGCTACTGGTTTTATTCATTTTTCATGTTCCTGGGCATGCATATCTCTCTTATTTTACAGAGCAAAAAAATTTTAGGTTATGAGTTTGGCTTAGTTTGAGCTTCAGAGTTACTGCGGTTTTGTGTCTCAGTACTTTCATCAGCAAATAGTGCTTTGAGTTGTGGCTTACCTACATGCAATTTAGAAAATCACTTGGACTCGGTACTTCCTCATTTCTTAATGTAAAGGCTCCTGCTGTCATACTGTGAATAATTATGTACGAAATAATTACCCTATAGCATATGGTATCTTCAATGAAAATTGTCAAGTAAGTAAAATTAAGTGATTTTTGGAAACTGTTATTTCAGCTGGCTGTATGCAAAACAGTCCTGCCTTACATTGCTTGGCATTGAAATTTAGCCCAAACTGAATCTCTCTTTTTGTGTGCCACTTACCACAGCCAGGATCCTACACATAAGCTGGAGTATCTTCTTATATGCATTAAACAGGAGTGGACGAGAGAGATACTTAGTGCTTCATTGTATTTATATGCAGTAGATTATGACAATATTTATTGAATAGTGACAAACAAACTTTAAATTTTAGCCATTGAGTCTCCTGTAGAATAACTCTTTGTATCATATTTTCCTTGGTCTCTAAAGTTTCATAGTGAAAGTCCTTACAAAATAAACATTAATCCTCTCGAACACAAGCCTTCCCCAATCCATTTTGTAGGCACCTTTAATCATTAATACCAAGCAGGAGGTCACACATACAAACAGAACTACTATAGTAATATCCCAGAAACTGAGAAATCGATTTAGTCAGTGCACAGCTTAATGTCATCACTATCCAGCACAAGTCTACTTTTGAAATAATCCTTTCAAGCACGATGCATCCCTGCATGTCTGACTGTCCAATCTCTTCTGTTAAATCTAGTTCAACAGCAGGTGTTGGCTGCTGACCGGTATTGGTGGACCAATATTCATTCACGTTGGCTAAATGGATTTTTTTTCTCTGGTTTGCAATTCTGTTGACATGACTGATGCAGCACAGAGCTGGCTGGAATGTAAATTGCAAGCACATGCCAAGGGTTAGAGCTGCGCACCGTAATCTATGTAGGGTTAGTGTAAGCAGACCATTATTGGCCTCTCTTGCGTTTTGATAATGAGTCAGATCTGTAGGGGGTTAGATTGTTCTAATGTTCAGATTTTCATATTCCAAGCAGACTTTGCTTTGTTTCAGACTTAATTTGAGCCCAACTGATGTCAAATAAGTTTCTACATCCATACCCTATGAAGTGGATTTTTCTTTCCCCCGCAATTCAGAGCAGAACAGCTGTGTTGCGAAAAGCCTTAACCATGTGCAGCAGTTGAGTCTTTCTAAGATTATTACCTTGTAAAATACAATCTGATTCTCAGATTTCTCTGTTTACCTTTTTAGTTAAGGAAATGTATGACTACCAGGGGAGATCTTACCTTCACGTTCCTCAAGATGTTGGAGTTAATCTCCGTTCTACAGTGCCGCCTGAGAAGTGCTATCTTCCAAAGAAACAAATCCATGTATGGTCTGGACATACAAAGGTAGGAAGTTTGTGAGTGTACTTTTTTTTATTGAGAAACACTTCATTTTGTGTCTGAAGCTAGTAACTTCTATGAAGCTGAAGTATCAGTAGAAGGAAGGAATATTTTTCTCATTTATGACACACAGCTCATGGCATCGTATGCCCCACATGAGATGTTTGCATGGTCAGAAGTGATTGTTTCTGATACCTCCATATACTTTTACATAGACATCGTGACTTCCTGACATCCTTTAAAGGGACAAATATTCTTCCTTCACCTCTGTGGGGTTTGGAGCTGTTTTCAAAACTATCATGTCCATAAGAGGAAGGCTAATTCTAGAGATCATTGAAAATGCATTGGTAGAGTAAAAGTGCTTGAGTTATTTTATATTAAACTTAAGAAAATAGGTTTTGTGATTACAATGCATAGGCATTACAAGATTTCCAAATACGTTTTTTAACTTAGTTTTATTTATTGCTACATCATGTTTACAGTTTGTTGCCAGAGCCTGTAACTATATACATACTTTTATATTAAAAGCCTTTCATTGATCAGGTTCATAAAAGCCTTCTTTTATCTCTAATTTTCAGTACTCCTTCAGGGAATATACTGTGCTGCAATGGACAGCACCTTAATGGTAGCCAGAAGATGGAAGGAAGTGTGTGGTCAAAGCTGTTACCCTCAGCCACAACTTGTATTTCTTTGCTGTGATTCACAGTAACCGTGTGAATGCTGAAGGAGGGTGTATGTACAGCTGTTGAACTGAATCTATTCAGTGCCAATAAAAATGTTCAAAATGCACTGCTGTTTTTAAAATGGAATGCTAGGTTATTTCTTCTCAAGATGCAGTTTAGCTTTTTGCCTACAAAAGGAAAGAGGGCAAGTGAACTGAGGAAATATCTAGATGCTCCACTTACTATCTAATTGTCCTTATTTACAGGGTGTCAGTGCAGTTCGGTTGTTTCCTCTGTCTGGCCATATGCTGTTGTCCTGCTCTATGGATTGCAAAATTAAGGTGAGTTATTTTTTAATTTTTATTTATGTATTTTATACCATCATTGAATACAGACCCTGCATTTAGATTATTTAAACACTACGTAATTCTAGCAAGGACCGTTTTTTTTGTCTGTTACTTTTATTTTCTCACTTGATTTTTAGATTACAAGTTCTCTGGAACAAAGAATAATACACAAGCTGACGTGGGTGTTAGAACAGTGTTAATCATTTACTAATAGCATTTAGAAGGTCACAAGTTGTTCAGGTTATTGTCCTTGCCATCATCATAATTAATTTTCTATGAAGCTTAGCATTACATCTAGAAATAGGCTTTTGCTGAAGTGGTTTACTGAAGCATTTGTGGCTTTGAACTAATGTAATTTTAGTCAGTCATGTGTCATATTAGAAAACTGATTTATTTTTTTGACTAGCATAATCTTAGGGGTTTTTAAGTTTAGATTTAGTATGTTTTTTAATTATTTTAAGACTTCTTTTTTTGCTAATAAGAAGATGACAACATTCTTGTGAATTTCTGCATAGGTAGTTGTGATTAATCAGTTGATGTCTTATGTTTGTAATTAATTTCTTAAAAGATGTTGTCATATATATTTGCACTTAATTTCAGCATCGTTTTTTTTTACCAATTAACATACTTTCTCCCCCATCCTTTTTTTTTTCTTCCAAGCTATGGGAAGTATATGGTGATCGAAGATGTCTACGAACATTTATTGGTAATAGCATTTTTTTTAAACTGAGTTCTTAAAGTGTGTGTGTGTATCTATACATATATATAAAACAACTACATGGAAGGACGTGATTTAGATTAGCTTATTACTTTATCTTATAAAAGATCTGGAGGCATCCAAGGTAAATGGTACTCAGTATAATGTTGACAATAAAAAATTGTTCTAAGTACAAGTTTTTAGTGAACCTTTGGCATTATTCCAGGCAATACGCCTTTCCAAAGCCAAAATTATGAAATGGAATTGCCCCATCTTCATAGTGAGAACAGCCGCCCTCTGTATTTATGCAGGGAGGGCATCTTACCTTAACTAGGTAATCTCTTATGTATGCAGTTTCTAGTGCAAAGGCATGAGAGGTTTTTGTTTTTTTGTTTTTCCCCCCTGGTTCAGGTGCAGTCTTTGTTCCTGTAACAGGTGCTTTTTAAAGCAGATGGTTGAGAGAGAAAAATACAAACTACAGCCTTGAATACAGAACAAAAGCAGCTCATTCCCCTTTTGAGATGGGAACGTTTCTAGAACACTGCTTGAAGTGAATATATGTTGAATAACAACAAAAAAAAATATTTTTATCTGATATTCTGATGACAGCAGTGTGGCAAAGGAGTGTTCAGAAAGGGTTCTCTATCAATAGACTACTCTTTCTGAATGGTTTGACTGTTTTTCTCTGAAGGTCCTTATTATCAACCAGATTTGCTTACTATTTTAATACATATGAAAATTTCCTTGCTGTTTTATATGTATGTAAGTAAATATTATATATAGTCATACATAATATCATATATAATGTAAGTAGCAAGTATAATGCAAGTAATGTAATGCATATAATGTAATGCAAGTATAATGTAAGTATAGCTATATAGATTTGTATGATTACATGTAGCTATATATTAGATATTTTTAATATATATAGTTCCAGTGCCAACATTTTAATGAAAGACAACTTCTACAAGTCTGGTTCAATTCTCAGCTGAAAGTATTGGGCTGAGGAGTAGCAGGGTTAACACCAGATTCTTAATTTTCTAACCTAGTATTTAACATGTTTTATACTTGATTATGTCATGGTAAACGTTCTCCTTTAAGTGCATCTCTTGTAGTGTTTGTCCTTCCTCTTTTTTCCTTAGATGTTGTCATTTATTACAACATTTTAAACTTCTCTTGCAGTTCTTAACTGATCAGAACAGTCTTTGAACCCAAAAGTACTTAAAATTTTGCTTGCATATCAATTCATGAATGATGCACAGTGCATGTTTCTGTGCAATACTGTTGTTTCTCTCTCCAGTGCTTTAGTTGTGGTTTTGTTTTTCTAAATAATTATCAGTCTTTAGGAGTTACTTGTTCTTTGCCACTTGAATGAATCTCTGTGCTGAAACTAGGTTTACTAGCGCTCATGAAGAATTTCAAGCAATTTCCTTGTTCTTTTTGCTTTGATGAAGATGGTAGCAGTTAACTGGAATGTTTTCAAAAAAAAAAATTAATTCTAAGCATGAATGGCTAAAAGTTTATTGCATCTTTTCTGCAGGACATGGTAAAGCTGTTCGAGACATCTGTTTTAATAACGCTGGCACTCGGTTTCTTAGTGCTGCATATGACCGCTATATTAAACTCTGGGACACTGAAACAGGTAGGCTTGTAATTCCACACACTGTTACGTGGCGCTGTGGTAAATACCAAGACATATTGTCAGGTTGTAAAACGTTTTTACTACATCAATTAATTGCATGTTTATGTGTACAGGCACAACTTAAGTAATGAAATTGCACTTTAAACCTAAATTCAATTTAGAAGAATTATTTCACTTGATCTTTCAGCTAACCTGAACATGAAGAGCATTCTGAATAGGAATCGACAGTAGAAATCCAGCTGCTGGTTTAGGAAGTGAAGGGATAGGTGTGATGCTTTCACAGAACTGGCTGGAAGGTGCTCTGTAACATTCTGCTGCAAATAGTTTCTTCAGTTAAAAACAGTCAAAGTAAATTTTGTCAGTATTCTTTTAAGCTGAGGGTGTTTGATAGGAAGGAATTTCCCATGTTTGAAAAGTATGTTGGCTTCCTTGGTTAGCAGTGGCACAAGTCATACAAATGGCAGGCAGAAGGTAGGTCAGATTCTCCAGTCTTGCGTTAGAGCTCAGCTATCTGGACCACCTAAAAAAAAAAAAAATCATTGTGCTTTTGAACTAAGCCAGGCTCCTGGGAGTTACAAATAATGCACAGTCAGGATATTTATGGCTGAGGCTGTAAGAGGAGGTCAGTGGTTTGTCTTCTAGCTGGATTACTGTTGCCCTTCTTAGTCGTGGCAATAAGGGATTCTTCACTGAGTTCAAGTCTTTTGCTGGGGATAACTTGGATCCTAGTCAGGTGGTGCTTTGCCAAGACACTGGTCAGCTACTGATGTTTTCACTAGTCCTGATGTCTTTGATTATGTCCTGATGATATGTAGGCTGAAGAGAAGTTATGTTGTTTGGAAAGCTGTAGTAATGGTATTGGGTGAGTGTATTTGTATGTCTTTTTGCAGATGCATGCTTACAAACACGTGAAAGAATGTCTAACTAAAGGGTTAGAGTAGGTAAATGTAGGGTAAATTCTACCCTCTGATCCTCTCAGAGCCTTTAAAAAAAAAAAAGGTATTTTCTGCTGTTAGTGAGGTAAAAGTAGAATGAATGTCTCTATCAATACCTGTAATGAACTCACCAGCCCTTAGAACTTCCCTCTTGACCCAGTATGAATGGTTTGTCTGTTTCAGGACAATGCATTTCAAGATTCACAAACAGGAAGGTTCCTTATTGTGTCAAGTTCAATCCTGATGAAGATAAACAAAACCTCTTTGTTGCAGGAATGTCAGACAAGAAAATTGTGCAGGTATGTCTACTTAATACCTTATTTTCTTCGGATTCTGTCTTAAACGATCCACAGCTCGAGAAATTGTTAGTTTTACTTGGATTTTCTGATTCAACTAGAATTTCTCAACCAGTTATTAAATCTTTCTTCATCTTTTTTTTTTCTTTCTGCTAGCCCTTCAAAGATTGTTGCTAGAGAATTTGCTTTCTTACCTGAAAATATTTTAAAACTTGAAATAATAATAAAATATTTAGTGTAAAAAGAAAAAAAAAAATCTTATGTCTTCTTTAATTGTAGTGGGATATTCGGAGTGGTGAGATTGTGCAGGAGTATGATAGGCATTTGGGAGCTGTCAACACCATTGTATTTGTGGATGAAAATAGAAGGTTTGTGAGTACATCTGATGACAAGAGCTTAAGAGTCTGGGAATGGTAAGTTTTTAAAATACTGTTGTTTTTTTTAACATAAAGTGTATTGTAAGCAAACTGAGAGGTAGTTTATTCTTACAAGTGTACATGGCACATAGGATGCTGAAGTGTACTGGGTTCTAGCTAAATGAGGAAGAGTTTAATTTAAATAACTACTACATAATTATATAAACAATTTTAGAAAGTCTTTCACAAGAAAGTAAAACCAGAATGATCTCAGATATCCTTGTTACACATTTCTGATACTGTTGAAGTTGGGCATGCACTCTGCATATTTCTTTGTTCTGCCACTCAGTCTAGCGTGGGTCCTAGTTCTTAAACATTTTTGTCCAGAAGAAGAAAACATTCCTTCCAAAATCTAAATATAATACTCACAATGTCTAGACATTATTAATGTTTAATAGTGAGTTATTGTCCCTAGCTTACTGCCCTACTCTACTGCAGTAATTGAAAACTGTTTTTAAAGTCTGTAAAATGGAATGTCTTAAATAGCCTCCGTTTTATTGGTGTCAATCTTATAAGGGCATCAGGCTATGTTTATTATTAGCATTAATTATTAATAATGTATTTTAATGTTGTATCTTATTAAGAACTCTTAAAAAATAATAATTCTGATCATTTAAAACTAGTTGCTTCCTACCCCCTAGCTGAATGCTAACAAACCTATTCTGGCTTAATGCTCAAGAGATTTCATAGATTTCCCTTCCTCCAAAGAAAGCACAAGACAGCCTTATCTGCCTGAAGCATGCTGCACTCTATTAGTGATCTCTGTTATCTCTCCGTTCCCCAAGGGTGTATTAGCCCTTAAATTAGCCTTTTAAAGAAAAGCTTGCTATGTTATGTTAGCCTGTGTAGTTTCTGAATGCTTTGAAGTCGGATATGTTATATTATTATTTAATGTTTGACCAATACATGAAATAACTATCTTAGTTTAGCTTCATTTCTCTTTTTCTGGTAGTCTGCTTTTTGGGCAATCATCAATACGCACAGGATGAATACAACAGGTGACAGAAAAATGGGAGTCTATCCAAGAAAACTCACATGAAACATCATTTTCAATGGCTTCCAATTTTTAACAGCTCTGGGGAGAAGGCAAATCCCTCCTGCTTCTAAAATGTTTTCCACAAGGCTCTAGGTCTTAAGACTTTCTGCTTAGGACTTTAAGATTTCTCTAGGACTTCAAACCTCTTTTGGAAATTATTAATTCCATATCTTCACGTATCCATTTCATTTTGCTGTTCACACATGAAAAGCTGTTGCACAATACAGACATTAGTTTGACATCTCTGTGACTAATCAGTTCCTCCACAGCTTTTTTTTTTTATTTATTTATAAATCTAGACAGGAGACTCCGGTCTGTAGTATTTAAATGTTACTCAAGCAGCCAGCAAAACCCACAGAGTGTCTGTGACCTGCTACCATTGCCAGTAGCAGTGGTGGTAATGACCAAAGTCTGGGAACCCGGGCTTAGGCTAGACACAAAATACTGTCAGCAGATGTCTCTCCCAGAGAGCCCCTGCTCAGCTTTTCATGATTAGACTCTTTACTGAGTTCCTTAAGAAAAAAAATCTTTACATTATCATATCTGCTAGGGAATGTCTCCTCTCTGGTGAGTAGGAGGAGGATCTCACTTGCACAAATCTGTTACTTCCTTGAGAATGGATTGCCCTTCTTCTCTGAGCTTTGTGTTGATGGCTGAAATAAATAGTGAAGTGGGTGGATTTAGTCACTCCGTGGGGAAGAGCAGGAAAGGCAAAAGGTTCTGGGATGGGAACATCACAACCTGATTGTTCCAGTAGCAGAAGTTTTCTTCCTTCTGAAGAACAAAAATATGTACTGAGCTTCCTGTACAATGAAGAAAGAGCGTCCTTGTTCAGATAACAGGGAGGAATTGTCAACAGTAGACAGTATTCTGTGATTCAGTTGTTGGGAAATTTTTTTTATTTTATATAAAGCGAATGCAGCGCTGTGTTCCTAGCATCAACCTGAAAAAACATTTGTCCATAACGTGCTATGATACATGGTTATTGCTCTGCAGGCATACTTAACTTCAATATCCAGATTTCCACAACATGTGAAAACTAAGCCAGTCTATTCAGCACATCAGGTTTGGAGTTTGAAAAATTCCACATCACACTGTTTTGTGCTGCACCTCAAATCCTTTTTTGCCTTAAGTTCATCAGGACAGTTATTCCTAAGCTTCGGGTGACTTGCTTACTGCACATTTTGATGTATTTCTCCAATATTCTACAGAAACAAAGCAGCCTTCAAAGTAATTTTGACCTGAGTATGGCCTTAAAAGCCAGTAATTAAAGCTGGTTTAATTGCTTGGTCTCAGTTGTCTAGAGGAATTTTGCAGTCTGCTTTGTACACACTCCGACTTGGCCAGAGCTGGTAATGGGATGGCGTGTCAGACTTCATCACAGTCAGCAACTTCTCCCCCGAGACTCCAAAGCTCCTTTCCCCAGGAGTTCACAGCATGCACGTCGATGGCACTGGTGGCGTGCTCTGAATTGCGGTTGCCCGGCTGCTGAAAGTTCAGCCTGCAAACACAGGGACAGGCTTACAGACCAAGGGGGTTGGTCAGGAGTCCTGACAGGAGTACTTCAACATTTGCCTGCTTTTACTTTTCATTTGATTGTAGTTTCACAGCGGCGATATTAAAACATGGGTATTGTATTCTGTGTTTTCTTTTTGAAATGCAAAATATTTTGTCTTGCCTGCTTCCCGTGCTTCTGGCCCTACTTGGCTAAACAGTGAAATAATTCAGGCAACTGACCTTGGAAGCTTTTATTTCCTTTTACCTTCGAGTCAGCTAGCAAAGCAAGAGCAGTACAGTGGTAGCTTAGTGCTTATTTTGCCAGGCTTAGGAGGCTTGTCACGTCTAGAAAGCTATACCCCCCAGCAGGCCTTTTCACTCCATAATTCCTTGTAAAGATGCTGTAGTCTCCTGAGAGAGCTCCTCATGATGTACAGATCCCAGAAGGGGATTGTTTTGCTTTTGTGTTTTTTGGTGGTTGTTTTTTCTTTTTCATCCTTTGGAAGGCTTTTTCTCTCTCCTGCTTGGGGAAGAAGTGGTATGAGAACCCCAGATTATCACGTTTCTAGATCTTGACAGACAGAAGCTACTTTTGATATTTAAACATTTTCGGCCTTTAGAGTGTTAGGAAGTGGGGAAAAATATATAAGGATTCGAAGATCTTTAAATTTAAAAATCTGAACAATGTATCACGTGATTTTTAGGTCAGCCAAACATGGCAGCATCTTTTTCAGTAATTTTTTAATTTTTATTTTATTTTACATTGGGAGGGCATGTGCGGAGCAGGCTGATATTACTACTTATTTAGCAACTGGAAGCAAATAGGGAAACAAATGTCTTGATTTTTCTTAACAGACGAAGGCATTGTATTCTGCACCTGTCCTTACTGTGCCTGCTAGTTTTCAACATAGAACAGAGCTGTCCTGAATAAATTCTAATAGATGAGCCTGCATTCCTTTTGTAAAGGGAGAAGAGAAGGTGGAAAACCTACACTGCATTTCAATTTCTCACTGCAGTAGTGTTCAGCATTGGAGATGTATCTTCTGTGATTTTATTTCTTTAAAAAATAAGATTTTTTTTAAATGTGGCTTCTGATAGGATTGCTTTTACCTACGACTGAGGGCTCCAAGTGCCAGGTGGGCTGAGGGGGTGTTGGATTAGGTTTGCACACTAGGAAGTTACCCCTGCACGTGCTCTTCTCCACCGAAGGACACAGAAGAGCCCTGCACATGTTCTTCACCCCCTCCTCTGATGCTGAGGGGTGAAATGATCTTACATTTAGCTCACGGGAGCATTGGTGTTGCTTCCTGACAGCAGGGCAGCTTCGCACCCTGCTGCCCATGTGCACGTTGCTTAACACAAGATGCCGGGAAATAACTTACTCCCCAATAAACCAGGACTGTTAATTACCTTGCTAATGCTGTTAGCATTTCCCTCAGTGAGTACAAGGCAGCCATCCACGCTCTCTGCCCTGAGAGTGTCCCAGCAGCCTTTCTACTGGGTCAATTATAGACACTGAGGCCAGAACCATCCCCTTTGTCTTAATTGCTGTTGCTACAGAACATTTTGCACGTCTTCGAATGAATACACTAATCAAATCTATTTTCTGCTGGAGATTTCATTGTTTAAGGGGAAAGCTGTGTGTTTGTCTTCCCTTTTACCAGCCTTCCAGCGTGGGGTGTGAGGAATGCTGTGGATATGCACAGCTCATTAGTAATTCACTTTACATAGTGAAAACCAAATGACTATTCGGAGGAGTAAGCCCATAGGTGTTTTTTTGTTTTGTTTTTTTTGCCTTGTTCCACGTGCCTTTGTACATTTTATATATATCCTTAACATGCACTGGCACAGTCCTGTGTGGAATTGAGACTGAGGAGTTCACAGTACAGTTCAGCTATGAACATTCAGAATTGATTGGCATTCCGTTTGGGGAAATCAGGAGGAAAGGGTCATTGTCAGAGAGAAGTGAAAAAGAGTCCTGTTTTCTCTTTCTAAAGGAAAAAAAAAAAGCATATAAAAAGGCAGAGAAGTATTACTGTTAAAACTCAATGCCTTAAGACATTGCAGTGAGATACATGCATATATCAGTCTATTCTTGTTACCTACATAAACATCTGGCAAGAGTTGCAGTTAAGCTGGAGTCAATCAAGTATCTTTGTGTTAAAGTTTAACAGTTGGAATCAGGTTTGTGCTGTAGATTATGGGTCGCTTGGTTTGGGGTTAATTCATGCTACCAGAGATTATCCCATAAATGGTTCCACAACTGGAGGTGGGCATTTGTAATTTTGCCCTTTTCCACATCCTTGCTGTGGACAGCACCACTACGTTCTCCGTGATTCGGTGGCTGAGTAAAGCAGCTGACTCCAGGCAGCCCGTTGGAGTGTCTCCACGTCTTCCTAAAGCACATACTTCTTCCTTTTGCAGGGACATTCCTGTAGACTTCAAGTACATTGCTGAGCCAAGTATGCATTCGATGCCAGCCGTGACTTTGTCTCCAAATGGTAGGTTAACACTTTCCTGCCTTCTTAGGCAGCTTACGTAGGCACGTCTTACTGGTTATATCTGTAACTTTGCCACGCTGCACTTCCCTGGTGCCCCACGCAACCCTACCTTCCCGAAGGAGTGTGTAGACGTTTATTCCAAGATTGGACTGAATAAGGTTTTGATTTAAATGCTCTGGGAAGACCTCAAAATGAGGGGTTATATCAGGATAACTGTTGGTTTAAATTTAGACCTTCATCCAGAGTAAACAGACTCTCCTTTTTTGTAGAGCTATAATGTGTTCTTTGCAATATTTACAATATTAAGAGAAACAATGGTGGTAATTGACAGAGGCTGCAAACTGCTAAGCAAGTTTATCAGTCCTTGTGGTGCCACTGATAAAGCAAAGAGTGATGTTGTACGTGTTCCTGTTAATGCTGTTGCTTTCTCTTCTGAATATAGCCCAAATAACACTTAGAGAAATTCTAAATTATCTCAGTGTTTCTGTGTGCTGATGTTTCCCTGGTGTTTGTGTTCTTCTATAAGAATCAAACTGAGGGAGGATAAAGGGTTAGTGTCTCCAGTAAGAAGTGAAAAATCCTTTTAATAGGACAAAATCTCTTTATGTGTTTTGGCCAAAATTAAATAGCTTTATTGCCAACGTTATTGAAGTGTTACTGGATTTACAGTTAACGGTCTCATTTGTTGAGCAGTGGCTGATGAACTTGTTGCACAGCTAGCATTTTCAGCCAGCTATCAGCATCAAATTACATTTGCTTTGCAGTGTAAATATTTTATTCTTAACAATTGAAGTAGAGCTTTAATATAGAAAGGAAGATTCTGGAGAAAGAGTGCTACGTGTTTAAAACGTTAGCTTCCCAAACTGGGCTATTTCAACCCCTATTTCTGATGTGGCACAACTTGTGTTCTCATCCAGTTTTTCTGCTCATCTCATTCTTCCACATTCGTACGAAATCTGGTATTTACCAGATTTCTCATTCTTTTTCCTTATTGGTCATTTGAGTATTTGATTTCTGTGATGAGAGAGTAAATGATGTTAGGAACAAAGTAGGGTCGTTTCTTCAGCTCCAGGTATCTCACATTATCTAACATTATCTTGACTTGCAGTAGTCCAACATCAGGCAGAACAAAGGCTTTCAGAATAATTACGCTACAGATTGTGCCAGACACATAGTGCATCGTTTTGGAGTTAAATGAGTCCTTTAAAGAAAATTAAATTGAAAATTTTACAGAAGAAAACTTTCAATTCCATAGAATCAGAATGGTTTGGGTTGGAAGGGACCTCAAAGATCATCTAATTCTAACCCCCCAACCATTAGCAGGGGTACATTTCCTTCTGAAGGGTGCAGGAGATGGAGACAGACTTCTAAAAAGTAGAGAATAACACATTCGGGGTACACATGCTGTTTATTTCTTCGGGAGTCTTAAGAAAAACCTCTACTTCCAAGGTAGGAGCTGGATCAGATATACGGATAAGTCAACACATTTTGTTACTGCTGTTCAAATGGGACACTGTGAAGACAGTGGTGATATAAAGAGTTCAGGACAGGAGTCTCTGTTCTGTACTGTTCTGTAGTGCATCATCTTCGTTGGATTCTCAGGCAGGAGTCAATGCGCTGCCAAGAAGCAGAGTGAAACAGAGTTAAGATTAGAAAAGCCTGTTCTTTTTTTCTTAAATGTCTTCAGTAAATCATCCTCAGTTAAGGCACAGAATATGAAATAATTCCGAAAACTTCAGATTTTCAAACTACCGAGTCTACCTTAGAGCCGCTTTTCTCATAAAGAAAAATAAGAGGTGATGATCTTAGAGTTACCCACAAAGGAGGTAATCAAACAGATTGCAGCTAGATGTTGTTTTTTTTTTCCCTCATCTGAATTACTTGATTGAGTGTTTAGAATGTGTGCACCAGCAAGCTTACTTGGTAGATTAAAAACAGAAATCAGTAACTCAGTGGGGTTAATGCAGCATATTGTTATAACTGGCAGGGCTTTTCTTACAGTTCTGAGGGGTTCTTGTGGGCATAGGCTTCCCAGCTCCTGCCAAGCATAAGGTTCTGCCTCTTGTGGCAGTTATAACAGGCAGAAATAAGGTCCTAGGTAGAAGTTGATACTGATACATACTAAAAATCTCTATTAATGTAGTGCAGGAAAAGATATGTGTCTCAAACTTCTCAGCCAAGTCTGTTTTTTCACACGTGGCACTCTGAAATCTTTGTTTATTGCATTTACAGGGAAATGGTTGGCTTGCCAGTCAATGGATAACCAAATTCTGATTTTTGGAGCTCAGAACAGATTCAGATTAAACAAAAAGAAAATCTTCAAAGGTCACATGGTAGCTGGCTACGCTTGTCAAGTGGATTTTTCACCTGATATGAGGTGAGTTTTGTGGGAAAGTGTTTCACTGTAAACTGGCTAGCACAGACACTAGGTTTCTTTTTGAATCCTCTGCAACAATGATTGATGCACAGCCCTTCAATTAACCCAGCATCAGACGGCTTTCTAGCCAAGCAGCAGAATGGAAATTTTGCTCTTGTGGCTTAATTAGACTAAGTTATACTCAACAGTTGGTCCAAACAACAATAGAAAATAGTCATTGTATTCCAGATTCCCCATTCTGCAAAGATAGCTTATGTTTCTGTGTTAAAGCATCCGGAGATTCCCCTTGTTTTGTCCAGCCTTGGTGCAGCACAAGAGGCTTCCACATCTGACTTGCCTCTGGCTCTTTACTGTAGACCAGCTGCAAAGTCTTCCCAGAAACCTTAAGGCTTTATCTCTGCAATATGCACTTGTCTAGAATACCTGGGACTCAGAAATACCCACTTTTTCTAATTTGTGGGTCTGCTGTGGTGAATCCTGACTTGTTGCTGAGAGAATTATCTTTTCTTCGTCCTGTTTGCTCAGGATTACACTGATACATTTATCATTGTGTGTACATAAGGTATTCAGTACTATAAAAACAGGAGAATAACCTCTTCAAACCTGGAGGAAATAGTTGAGAGAAGCGTCTGTAACTTGCAGATAAACTTCTAGCACTTCATCTTTGCCTGATGTTTTCTCTCTAGTTCCAGTAACACCGTGTATGGTATAATCACGTTGCTTAGCACGTTTACCTCACAGCTGATGAATCACCTTCTGCAGGACTTGTGTGCTTTAGAGCACAGCACGAATGCTAATTCTTGGGCAGATATGTTTTCAGACTGTCAGATGGGAAGCTCGCTGGGCGAAGCTCTATTTCCGTTGCTCAATGCAAACTGTTAAAATACCAGCAGTCTTTGCACTTAATGCAGCTTTTCTTTTAATCCCTTTAATACAGCTATGTGATATCTGGAGATGCAGATGGAAAACTGAACATCTGGGACTGGAAGACAACAAAACTCTACAGCAGAGTAAAAGCACACGATAAAGTCTGTATTGGTGCAGTCTGGCATCCACACGAAACATCCAAAGTCATTACGTGCGGCTGGGATGGTCTTATTAAACTCTGGGACTAACGAGGCTGCTATGAGGATCTAAAGGTGTAAGCCCTGCAGACATCTGAGACTGGAGTGCATTCAGCTGTGAGGAGAGGTAAACTTTTGTAATACAGCTGTTCTCAGCTAGCTGTACATATGCTCTAAAAAATGGGGAATTTCAAAAGACTTGTCCCAAAGGATATTGTTCGAAATATGACATCTGGGTGTGAGAATCTGAGGTCACCTGGAGCATGCAGAATCGAGTGTTAGTTTGTGCTGTCACTTTTTGTGCAAGATACTCTTGTAAAATAAAATAATTTTAAGAAAAACTATTTTTGTGGTTCTGGCTGTCAGAGATGTGGGGACTTAGAGAAGAAAACCAGCAATTGTGTAATTCTCTTCCGAAGAAGAAGTCTTTGATACCTGCTGCAGTAGAGCTGGAAAAGATGCATTTGTTTGTGGCTTTTGGCAGTATTTTGTTCTCCCCCAAGTATTTTGTTCTCCCCCAAATACTTCTACCTTTACAGAACACAATCATTTGCTAATATCTGTTAATTCACAGTTGGAATGGACTAATCAGAAGCTTGCAGCCCTCAATTAAACTGTATCAACAGAAAGCCGCATTCATAAAAACCTTGTTTTGTCTGTATTTAACTGTATCATGCTGATCACCAAGTGTCATCTTTACAAATGCTCCTCAGTTTGAAGATTTTGCCTGTAATGGTCGTGTGCTAGGTGTTTTTCTCTTCCCTTAATGTTGTTAAGTTCCAGTAAGCATGACATATTAAAAAAAAAAAAAAGGGCACCAACAAAGTGAATAGATTGTATTATAAGCTCCGTACAGTTTCTGACAATTTAATGTATATACATGCCACACTTTTTCTCGTCAAAGAACTTATTTTTAATAAATCTTTTTATAAAAAAATCTGGTTATCTTTATTCAGTTCTTCCATCTAGCACTGTCCCTATGAAATACTTCTTATCATTTGGTGTTTTAATTCTCAGTTGTGTCGGAGTTCAGATAAACTCATTTTCTCACACCATTCATACAAAACTAATGTAAATTTAAAGGACTTTCCCCCTCCTTCTAATTCTCTATCTGCTCTTGTTTTTAGGCCATAACAGAAATAAAAACATGTAACAAATGTATCCCGTTTAATTACAGTTTTGGACTACACTGTGTTGTTTACTGTAAGTCCAACCACTCCTCATCAATTAAACAATAGTAAAAGAGTAATAGCTATAATTAGCAGTAGGATAGGAGATAAAGCATCTCAGTAGTTGAGATGCAAAGAATCACAAATTGTGTAGGAAGAAGGGCAATTGTTTTTTTGTTTTGTTTTCTATTTTTTTAAATCGTCTGTTTTGGAAGGATTCATTAAGAAGACTGTTCTTTCAAAGAATACTTGATCCAAAAGTTTCAAGCAAGGCTTTTACGAGTGGCCGTGGAACTTAGGGGTTTTAGACCAGCTGTCTGAAGCTGAGTTTGAGTCTTTTCACTACTAGTTTATGTCATCACATAACTGTACCAAATGTATACTCAGGAAATCCTGGAGATGATGAATTAGGATTAAACGTGTGCAACAAGCCCTGAATCAAAATCCCGCCAGAAACTTTCAGATAAAATCCTTTGTCCTTCGCTGCTGGTCACCCTGTTAATCCCTTGTGGAATTTCTCACATCTGCATTGAAGCCCGCAGGGGGAATTTTTATGAGGATAATTCCCTCTTGTCAGCCTGAGAGTTATGAACCCCAAGGCTCACGTTGTCAGCTATTTTCCTGTGCCTGAGAACAGGCGGTGGGTGTCTGTGTGGCTTGAGTCTAGACTTGTCTCACCAGCAGCCACCTGGGAGCAGACTCCTTGCTGGGCTAATTAACTCTAATCACGTTGTCCTCTTATCTTCCCAATTTCGTGTTTCGCCAGAAATTGGTCTGCTACAAATATCGGTCAGAACAAGTCTAGACTGAGACCTCTAGGCTGAACTGAGCGTGTGAGCAGACAGCCACGGAAAAGCAGCTCTGTGAGGCAAGGAAGCCGCGTGTTTCCAGTTCCCAAATCATTGTCCTCTAACACCGGGCAGATTCAGGCTGGAAGGAGCTCCTTGTGAGGGCTGGAGGCAAGCCCGTCGCCCTGTCTGGAAGGAATACTTGCAAGTTGGCACAAATGCTGCTGTGACAGCATTATAATTTAGTTCCCCTTGACCGTGCATCTCTAATTTTAAGAAATGACGTGGCTATGTTGCCACTTTTATTAATATCAGTTAATTTTTTTTATGGGTTTTACGGGTAAGTGAGCTATCTCCATCATCCTTGGAGCTCTGCCTCGGGAACTTGATCGTTCTTTTGGCCTTGTGCCATCTTCTTCTTGGACTCTCTTCATATGCGAGAGGGGGAAATATCCCACATATCCTCACGCAACTCGCTGCTAAGAAGGCTGTCACTCTTGAAGCAGATGGTCTTGGCATCTGTCTTGCACAGAGTTTATAATAGTCCCCAGTAAGACGGGATGCTCAGTCTTTGCCCTCATTACAAGGAACAAATACCTAAATTACTGTACATCCAGAAAACTTCAACGTTGCCTTGTAAAAAGCCAATTTTTAGCAACGGGCAGATGTTCAATCTACCATTTAACAGTGTGGTCTTCAAAGGCTGATTTAAACAGTGAGCCTTGCAAAGCTGAGAGCCCAGGAACACAATGTACTTTCTTTCTTCCTACCAGCTGGTCATCACAAGATCTTGCTCCTACTTGCTAGAGAGGCTCCATATGACGAGCAGCCTGCCTGAGGGGGAACGAGCAGGAGAGCAGGGCAGGGAGGGAAGCTTTGCCTGCAAGACTTGAAAGAGTTGAACCTATATACCCAAAAAATTAGCTGATGGACAGCGCTAAAATCAAGCGGTACTGCAGATGTATTGGGTTTGCCATTCAGAGTAAGAGGCTATGACTCGTCCTTGGGGTTTTTTTGGTTAATCTGAAAGATGTCAAGGCTAAATGAGCCTGTTTGCCCTCTGATTTGGAAAGGGAGAAAACAACACAAGTCTTCTAGTGAGTAATTTCAGCCCTATCAGCTTTATGGGGCTCCAGGACCATTGACAGGCATACAGACATGTCTCTGGGAGCTGCCCACCTCTCCAGTTCTCCCAGCATAATTACCCTGAATTGGTGTGTTGCTGTAATTTCCTCATTTTATGTTATGTATACTGCAGAATTTACTTTCAGGTAACTACTGAAAAATAAGCATGTATGGTAGTAATCCACTGAAAAGAGTAGGGACGTTTTGTTTTTATTCACATTTGAGTCATTGTTTCGACACAGTGCAAAGCCGAGCTCCCGTTTTCTCCTTGTGCAAGGTCAACATAAGGGCTGTAGCACAGCCCATCTGCAAAGATTTCCTCTGACCCAGCTGAGACACTTGAGAGCAGGCAGGTCACATTATGCCAGGAGCAGGGACTTCTATTTAAGGGTCCATTCATGACCATGGGTGGTTCTCTTCAAGTGCTGGCCTTATTTTTTGGATGCTCCCCATGAAAGCCAGCAGAGAGAGGGAAGTATAAATAGGTCTCTGAATGTAGGTCAGCTCTGAACTTCCACCACCACTGAAACAGGTTTCTACTGACTGCAATTAAATGTCACATTGTGTTAACAAGCAGGAAGAAATCAGGAGTGATTTCTTACTGAGTAACCCCAAGGATCCCTCCAAGAGCAAGGAAGTTGCTAATGAAGCTCACAAAACCAAAGGTTTTGAATTAACCAGTTGGTCTCAGCTACTGAATAATTCAGATAAAACGAGTGCCTTTTCTTTAGGTGTGCTACCAGGCGATATGTCTTGTTGGCATCTGCCAAGAAAGACCAGACATACGTTCCCGTTACATTTTCTCTGATCTTTCAGGATTGAGAGGTCCTCATGAAGAACAACCCACCACAAGTCACTGGTGGGGTCAAGGCCCAGGGCCATAAAAGCATTCAGCTCAGGCTGAAGGAGCAAGAGACTTTGGGTGTGAGCAGTGCAGGATCTCTTCCCTTTTCTGTCAGCTCAGTCCCTGAAGGATGGGAGAAGCCACCTGAGCAGGGTGTGTGGTGGGGCCCTGTGGCAAGTAGGCACCGATCATGCCTCAGTGTCACACAGTGGACACTCGCTTACCCCTCGCTCACCAGCACGGTGCCAACCACATTTCTTTGAAATCAGGCCCAGTCGTTAGCAGGGAACTGGCCTTGTGTGAGATTTGCTCCTTTCGGTAGAAGGAGGTTAGGAAAAGAGAAAGGGCAGGGCACAAAAGCAAGAGCTCGGAAAGGAAGGGCTGTAACTCCGCTTCAAGAGGCGCTAAGTAGAGAGGCAGAGTGCATAGAATAAGAGCCATTCCCTTTCTCCCATAATATCATATAACTGCCTCCGGAATGATAAATGGCTTTTCTCTCTCCTGCAGCTTAGGAGAGGTTTCTTTAAAAATTACCATAGTTATTGGGCTCTTTTCTTGCAGGAGATGTATTTGCTACAGCCTAAATGGCTCCTGACACTACCTAGCAATCCTGAGCAAGAAATGTGATGAGGGTACACTAAGCTCTGAATCTTGGGCACCAGGATGGCCTTCCAGTCCTTTTACATGATTTACATATACATGTAATTTATGTTGTGTTTTTTTCAGGGCAATAAATGATGAAAGGTTCGCATCCCTTTTGAATTTTAACACCTGAAAGAGAACGTCGCTTGTCTTTCTACCTCTATCTTTTGGTTTCTTAAACAAATGGTAATAAGCCACCAGCCCAGGTACTCCAACACTTATCAGCAAGAAAACCCTGTGTGGTGCTAGAGACTATATTTCTATGCTTTATTAATAATGCCTGGCCTTCTGCCATCCCGTTATCTGAAAAATGGAAGGGGCGCCATTCTCTGATGAACAAAGTGTGACTGTTCCCAGCCAGCTTTGTAGCAGCTTAGCAAACCTGGCACCCTCTCGCATTTTAATGCTTCTCCTTCTGGCCCTGCCTTGTGGAACAGCCTTAGCACTTAATGTACAGGGCACGGCTGTCACAAAGAAGGCATTTCCCACTCATTTTCGGAGGTCACAGCTCTCTGGGGTTACCCCGGGGGTGGCAGTATGTGGGCTCTGCTCCACCAGGCCGCGAAGCCCTCGCTCCCCGGCCCAAGCAGGGTGTGCAGGAGCAGGCCCAAGCCACATTTGTACCAGAAACAAACAAAAAAAGCAGTGTAGGGTAAGTCCTGCTCTAGCTGTCCCTGCTTGAGCAGGGGGTTGGGCCAGATGGCCTCCAGAGGTGCCTTCACGCCTCAGCCATGCCGGGACTGCATTCCCAGCCTTGTGGCAGGGGCTGGCCGTGCCTTTTCACCACACGCTGAGCTTCCAACACAAGGTGGCTTCATCCAAGCTGGCCTTGGCTTGGGCTGACTCCCAGGAACTGTCTGGGAAGGTCCCAGGTGGCCTGAACCAAAACTGTGCCAGGGAGCTCATTAATTTAACCAGGCAGCCACGGCCAGGGCCTGCGATCGCTGCCTGCCACCGCTTCATTTACCAGCAGTCCTGGCCTTCCTCCTTCTTCCCCAGCTGAGGTGTTTAATGTGTGAAACCCATATGAAGTTACCTTGGAATTAAAACCCACTTCAGAAAATCCCAGTGCACCCAAGGAAGTGGATGCGTTTGTTTTCAAAAGGTGATAAAAATGGGATTAGAGAGGCAGTAACTCCCTTCACACAACACAACAAGGTGCTGTCAGCAGGACTGAAAGGCAGCAGATTGAAAATCAGCGTGCCTTTGTTAAAACAGGCAGGGTTTGACATTTCTCACAAGTTAAAATTTCGGATGTGACTGAAGGAAGGCTGATACGCTCCTGAGTGCATGAGGGCACAGAGCTGGCTTTCACTGAAGAGATTAAAATCCTCTCCACTTCCACGAGCCCTGCACCATCATCAGAGCA